ACTTGTTTCAGGTGATTAAAAGAGCCCATATCATAGAAGACTAAGTTTTCCTCACTTTCTTAAATGATAGAGCTGATAAACATAAAGTTTCAAAACATACCATTCACTTTTCAGTGCATACAGGCCATATGTGGGAACTACGCTACTAAAACAGCCTGTTTTTCTTCATTGTTTTTGTGATGTCATCACATTTACATATATCCATCCATTCAGCCTGTTGCAGTTTAGCCCTGTGCTGAAGTTCTAAAGAATATTTCAACCTGGACTGCTTTTTGAATGCAATACAATGCAGCCAGTCAAACACAGCTCATTTGCATATAGCAGTCTTAAAGAACCTTTGAACCTTTGGATTTTAATATGAATACATGCTAAATGGATATTTATCTGATACCTTCTGCATTTATTTAATTAGATGCTTGTTAATGTGTGGGTGATATTAATAAAAGGTCTGAGCTATTTTCCATAAAGAAAAGGTTTAAAGGGGAATTCTGATGATTTTTAAATGTTTAGCATAATTCAGTCATTGAAGTGTAAACAGTATCATTCAGAGAGGTTTGATGTGAAATTAGATTGTAAATCTGAAAACTAAGTCTTCTATTCTGCACTAAAATGCCTGGCATATATCTCTTTGCATATACTTAAAATATGTACTATCATAAAACAGCATTGTATATGTGTTTCATGTAAAAACTTTCTTTGATGTAGTTTTTAGAGAAGCATTAAAACATTAAATGCTTCAGACATCTGGTTCCTATCACTACCACTGTTCCAACTTCCAAATTCCAACTCACTAAGTTTCTCTAGAATGGCACATTTCACATCACGCCACTCAGAGTTTGTTTACCACTGTATTATGCAGAAATTTTGCAAAATTGATGGATTTCCCCTTCAAATAAAGCAAGATCAAAACACCTTGTTCCTAAATCTATACCACATTACATTCAGCACATTTGCAAAGCATAAGCTTCTCCCATACTATGTGAGAAAGTGCTTGTGGACTGCTCAGGCCTTCTGTCTGCGTACCTTGGTAACCTGTATGTTATCATGTTTTATGTGTTCATTATGTGCACTTCAGGACTTCACTTTATATTCTCATGGGAGAATGTAGGAGAGACTGTGTGTTATTACAAAAATCGAAACATTCATTTTAACAAAAGATAATCTCGCTATGATCTGCTGTGATGAATGTGACGTTCTCATTATGAAACACATGGCTTGGATCACTGAGAGCGCTGAGCTCATTCTGCACTTCAAAGACGCAGGTGGCAACTTTCTCTTCACAATGATGGAAATGTAACTTCAGACACAAATCAACCGTTGCAAGAAAAGTACATGCGGTTCTGTACATAAACTTTACAGAGTGAATTCTGCTATGATGAGCTAAATCTTTCATCAGCTTAGCCACAGTGGATATTACTGTGTTAAATCAGCTACAGCGTCACTCAGCGCAGGCTTATTATTATACAGTTACAGTGGCTCTGCATTCCACAGGGCTTTTCATTACTGTGTCTGTCTCAGGGAGAGAGCAGCGGACTCACACAGACTGACCTTAATGTAAAGAGAGAAAAACACAAAAGCTACACAGCTTCTGCTCTCATACATCTCTGCATCTTTGAACGTACTGGGTAGTAGTGAGGCAGTGAGGAGGGTCCGAGACCACCAAGAGATCTGCTATGCAAAGGAGGGGGCACGCTTTTCAAACAAGGCTACATTCTTACAGAGAATGGAACCGTCCTTATGTCTGAATCTCCATGGAGACGGAAAGCAGAGAGGGGAGGACTGAGATTTGTAGTGACTTTTGGGTGGAATGTGCATAGGAAAATAGGAAAGCAAAATACAGTTGGATATTACTACTGCTGTTATTATTATTATTATTATTATTATTATTGTTGTTGTTGTTGTTGTAAATACTTTTTTACTTATAAATGAACCTATGTGTGTGGTTGAATTTGATTATGGATGTCCATGTGACTGCAAAAGTGTGATATTTCTGTTGTCAACTATGTTACAAAATACAAATTCTTTATTTTAATAATAATAATAATAATGTTAATAATAATAAGAATAATAATTTGTATTATTATTTTTTTATATTAGTATTATATGTATTTGTTTTATATTTAACATTATTTTTATTTACATTTATTATTATTCTCACTAATTTTCTTCTCTATTCTTCTTCTTCTTCTTCTTCTTCTTATTATTATTATTATTATTAATTTCTTTATAAAAGCAATGAATTTCATTTTTATATTTTATGTATTTATTTGTTTTTTAATTATTTATTTGGGGTTTTTTTTATTACTATTGTATTTGCATTTTATTTTATGAACAGTTGCTTATATTATCCCCGCGACCCTGAAGGATAAGCGGTTTAGAACGTGTGTGTGCTTATATTATTATTATTTTTTAATTTTTTTACTAATTGTTTTATTTTTATATTTAGCATTATATTATTTATATTTATTATTTTTTCTCACTAGTTTTCTTCTTCTTTATTATTATTATTATTATTATTATTATTATTATTATTATTATTATTATTGCATATTCATAGTTTTCTGAGGCAGTGTTCAGAAAATAGAAGCTAAGCAGCACCCCCTTGTGGTCATGATGCAGAAGCACAGCTGGGAACAAAGAAGTAAAATTAGGTTACAGGAAAGCCCCTGGAAGTCAGTGAGAGCAGTCTTTTCCATTTGCTCATGTACACCTGTTCACTGCTCTCAGCGCAGCTTTTTGCAAAACTTCATACAAGACAGAAGTTGGTTTGAAGTGTTTTTGAGTTTGATGTAAAACATTGCTTTTGTTCAACTAATGTAAAGTTTGCTTTGCATTGTTTCATTCAAAGCATTTATCTGAGTTGAATAAAACTACATTGCTTGTTACTACATGAAGTACTTTTTGAGGTGGAACTGACAAACCATTTTAACAGTGCAGCTCATAGTTTGGAGCTTGGCCCCTGAGAGAATGCATCAGTATGGCTTTGCTATACATGCATGTAAAGGTAACTGGGGCTGCGTTTTGATCTTAGGAATACAGTCATATACTATAAACCATTTCAGGCAGATTTACTGCGACCTGTACTAAAAGGCTCCTGCACAAAATTGTTTCCTGATGGGATCAGGACAGACTCAAGATGTTCTACCTCTGGTCTCCTTACCCTCGGTACTCATGCTGCATCAATCTACACAAGATGACGATGAGAGCTCCCTCTAGTACATCACACGCCGTGCTGGTATTCACACAGTCTGATTCATTTCTCTGCTCAGCTTTGACGAAGAGCAGACCAAGAAGAGTCTTTATACAATGACAAGGAGATCCTTTCCTACATAAATACTGGTGTAACTGATTTAACTGACTTATTAACCGTCTTAACTGCCTTATAAATGAACTTCACTGACAAAAAAAGAAAAGAAAAGAGAACTATTTGTGATACTGCAGTTTAATCAGGATATAGCAGTATGTCTCTTTGTGCAAAGTTTCCCTTCGGCCTTACATTTTCAGTGCTGGCCAGGAGCTTTCTTCTTTCATATTGTACGTGTTGTTAACATACACTCACATATTGAACATCAGGTTGGCTGGTATATGCAATCTATCAAGTATAAAGTAGGCCCAATCCCATCTCACCCCTTGATCCTACCACTTTGCCCTTTCCCCTCCATTTTGAGAATTCATGCCTATAAGGGTAGGGTGTCCCGATTTTTGTTGAGATAGAGGGGTAGGGCGAAGTGTTAGGGCTACATGGCCCTCCAAATGAAGGTTTTCCAGAGGCACACTCCAAACAGAGTGTTATGAGAAAAAGAAGACCCGGCAAAATGGCTGCATAAGCGACCAAAGAAACTCACAAATGTGAATATTTTTTCCGTTAAAATCACAATAATCGAATGATCTTAGTTTAATGTCGTTTCAGTGTATTATGGACCTTTTCTTCTTAACAAGAACAAAAAATCACCAGTAGTATGCTGATGTCTCGGTAGCTAGCTAGCTAAATTTCCCGTTCCACCTTAAATGGTGCAGCAGTTACATTCTGACACCTAAGGCATCAGAACTGCTGCGCCATTTAAAGTGGAACAGGAAAATTCGAACAAGAAGCTGTGAATATCTGACTTCAGCTTCATGTTGTACCCCCCTCATGTTGTATGATTCCCTATATTTAACTAAAGATCAGCAGCAGGGTTGCTGAACTTTACCCTCCTCTGCTTTCACTGCAGACTGGCAGGATTGCCTACAGAACACCGTGAGTAGCCTGTGAATGAAGTAATGTTCTTTTTATTTGAGGGTCCCATTTCGAAGAGGAAGATTTCAACCACTACTCTTTGTAACTCAATTCCAGTGGGCAAGGTGACACTAGAAAACAAGGAGTAGGGATAAAAATAAGAGATGGGATTGGGCCTTAATCAGAGACATACAGAGCCAGAATCTTCTGATCCTCAAAGTCTTCCTACAGGCCATGTAAAGTTCAATGCCTATTTACAGCATGCGTGGAAGTGTGTGGTGGGAATTCAACACCGTTGCTCCCACTACAAAACACACACTGTATGATGTTCTACTTTGTCTTCATGGCTCCTCAGGCCTTTGATTAGCTCTTTGCCCTCATTAGATTTCAGTCTCCCTTACACTTGATGATGCCCAGGCTTTCAGGCCATGCCAGAATATAGGTCAGTGTTGTTTGGAATAGTTCAGAAATGAAGTCAAAGTTGTACAGCTTCTCTCCCTCCTTGGCTCCCATTGGCCAGAATGCAATGTCACTCTCTTTTAACTGTCCTCACTTGAATCCTATTTGGTAGTTCTGCATTGCCATGCATATCAGACCCCTACAGTGTGTTCGCCTATTGGATATTGATCATGCTAGTTTGCATAAAATATTCTGTCAGGAGCCTCATTGGTCAGGTTATCACCCAGTGGGCGTCTCTGTACATGATTAGCTTAAGTTAGGGTCTATGTTTAGCTGGCTCATATTTCCTCCCTCCTACTGTTTATTAATAAAGGTAAACAGATTCTGAGTTGCCCTGGTGACTCAGGGCAGTCTGCTGGAGCTGGAAGACAGAAACCAGACAGGCTCCGTCTCTCCCTCTCTTCTCACACTGCTTGGATATAGTGAAGTCTAAAAAGGGAAGAAACATTATGAGTTCAGTGAGTATTTGGCTTTTTTTATTTAACTTTAGTACAAAGATATACTGAAGTATGAATGTATATCACTACAGTACATGAAGTATATACAGTATGTGTAGCACTGTAATATTGTGATGGTGGTCTTCCATGGTTGTTTTAAGAATCTCTGAAAAGGAAAGTTCAAGCAGAAGCTAGTACAACATATATTATTCATACTAAAGCACTTTTTATTCAGATGCTGACGTGCTGTAGACAAAGATAAGAAAGACAATGGAAGTGTACATTTCAGACGCCCAGTAAAATACAGTGTAAGCACGAGCAGCTGTTCGTAAGCACGAGCAGAGTTTGTGAGAGTGTGCCAGTGTTGGAATGTGCCCTGCCTGTGCCCATGGCTAGCAGCTGCTCTCTCTGAAGTCCCCCCTGAGCCTGTCGTTATAACTACTGACCCTATTTATCAGGGACATGGAGCCTCAGACCATTTAAGGTATCAGAGCCAGTAATATCACATTTTCCCCTAAGGGTTCAAACGAAAAGAGCACTGCACTGCTGATCTACACCCTATAGCTGGGAATCAGGTTCGTCCCAATGTGCTGTGAGTGGTGATGGGTCATTGGTCCCACAGCAGAACAATGGCAAGGTCTTTTTGTAGGCTCTTGTTGTTGTGGTAAGTAGCAGTATGGCAGCTATCCACTGCACTTACCTTGATGTAGTAGTACTCTAAAGCACTACATGGGCAGCAGTTACAAACTATGTTTTGGAAACCTTTACACAAGGCTTATATCTGCTATCCTTCACCTCTCCAAACTCTACAGTAAAATAGGGGACCTACTAACCCCATTTACCCCTTCTATACCCTTCTTAGTTAGTTCAATTAGTTCATTCAGCTATTTTAAGGTACACGTGGTACTGACACAGGTGTTAAAATCCGCAAACTCAGACATAGAATCTCCATAGAAAAGCACTGCCAGTAGAGTGAGGCACTCTAGAAATCACCATGCCCACTGCCAAGCATCAACTAGTGGGGTGTAAAGCTCCCTGGCACTGGACTCTGGAGCAGTGGAATTACATTCTGTGGAGTAATGAAGCACCAACTTTATAAGTGCCATTTGCAAGCCAGATCTAATCAACTAACATCGGTACCTGACCTCAGTAATGCTCTTGTGGGTGAATTCAGTCAAATCCTCACAGCAATGTTCCAACGTCTAGAGTAGCCTACTGGAAAGTTACCCTCACCATTAGTGAAAATGCTTATACTTTGCATTCCTTTCTCATTTAATACAGTAGCTTTTCATTACAAATTCTATTATCAGCATAACACAAAGTGAAAAGTGGAATCTTTGAATATTTACCTGAATGTTATACCTGAGCTGTACATGGACTCCACAAGTTTGTGCAAAAGCTTCTGATGAGTAGATCAAATCCACCTGAGAATCATCTGAATGTGTGCTTTAGTGAAAGGGATGAGACAAAAAATCTGACCTTTTGGTCCAAGAGTTTTAATATGGTCAATGTCAAATTGTTTGCTTAGAAATAGTGCTGAATCGCAAATATTTCTTTTTCATTTACTTGTTATAACTTTTTATTTGTTTTATAGTTTTTGAAATAAAAAAAAGTATTTGTACACTATATTTAATATTAAAATCTTTTTCTACTTTGAAGTTGCATTTTTGAAGCATTTTAGTAACACAATATAGTGCAATGTTATGCTAAAAAAAAAGCCAATCTGATTTCTACCTTCCTTTCTTTATTTGTATAATTTTTTGTCTTTTTGACAATTGGCCTCCACAAACATGCCACTTTGGCCGCCACAACAAAAACGTTGAGCACCCCTGATCTAGTGTAAATCCTTCCTAGAAGACGGGATGGGAAGGGGGACACAATTCATATTAATACCCTTGGTTTTGGAAGAAATTGGACAGTGCAGCTAGGATCTCTTCATTTAAAAATGTATTTGTAGTTCTGTGGTTTATTCGATATATTAGCAGTCCATCAGTTAGTTGGTCATTAGGCTTGAGCAGCTGCTGCTCAATGACTTGCATGCCCTTGAGACACCCTGGAGAGTCCCTCCACTTACCTTCACCATGTACTACACACTGCACAAGAATCTCACACCCACAATGCACTGCACATACAGACAAACAGTAAGGCTGTTTAACAGGGCCTCTTTCATCACTGAAGCATCAAGCAAATGGTTCAATGGCACAAAGTACCTCACTGAGTTCACTAAATTTATAGCTGAATTAATGATATAGAATAGAAAATTATATTCTACCCTTTTTGCAATTGATATTCACAGCAGGTTGATTGACAGAACATGGAAGACGAAGATACCAAATTTGACCAAGCCTATGGGCCTCTCTCAGAGCCTGAGGGAAAGCTTGACCCCTTGTTCATTGAGGAAGAAGATGAAGACTACTTTGAAGACTGCTTGGAGGAGCTCGAGGCCGCCTTTGCTCTTCCCGAGGAATCCTTAGCCTATTCACAAAAATGTCGGGAAGCACTGCAAGCTGAATTTAATGGACTTATGAGGCAGATGTTGGCACAGCTAGATGACTTTGATGCCACCCATGAGACCAAGTCTACTCCATCAGCTTTCTTTGCAGGAAGTGAGCATATGTTAATAAGAAATGGCTTTGAAGACGCTAACAGGTATGAAGACTTTGTTTCAGAGACAGAACTATCCATGGCAATAGATGAGCCTGAAGGCTGCAGTATTGAAGCAGCGCCAAAGCTGTCTGCTGCTACCATGAAGATAAAGGAACTTGGGACATCATTTGAAAGTTGCATTGAAGAGGTCACTCAGTTTGAGCGCAGGAAGGAAGAGCTGGTGCAAGAACTTCTGGAGCTGGAGAAGCCCATGGCGCAGGAAGTGGAGGCTTTGAGGGCTGAGCTAAGGGATGCCAAAAGCCTCCTCTCCAAGGCCAGAATGGAAAGACAGGGTTTGCAAGAGGAGATACGGGTGGTCAAGAGACGCTTGTTTTTCGCTGCTAGGGACTGTGCACAGAGTCAGGTGGCCTTGGCAACCCAGCAGAAAGGAGTGGAGCAGTTCAACCAAGCACAGGTACTGTGAAGTATAAACATTACCTATACTGTTCAAATAAAGATGCAAGAGAGTGTTCTTTTGTTGAAAGAACCTCCACATAATGCAATGGTTCTATATGAATTAAATGATTTTCTAAGAACCATATCTCCAAGCCAGGAACCACTAAGGAACCTTTTGCTGTGCAGAATGAATTCCATCAATAGTACCATTATCTATTGCTTTGCCACAAAAACATTTAGGGCACTATAGTTTTTTTCAGCAATGTCCTCTCTAATGATTCTTCAACCTAGGAAGAAATGAAGGCCCATGTTGAGAAGCTGACTGAAGAGATTGCCCAGCTTCATTCTAGACACCAGGACCAGCTACAAGCCCTGCAAAATCAGAAGGACAACATTACCCAGGAGTCCAGCAAGGACAAGACACGCTCCTACATTTCCCAAGGCCGACGGGCCTCCGTCGACCTACAGCAGTACCTCCAAGACGGAATCAAAGTGCTAGAAGAGTGGTATGAGCCCCGGCTGGTGGCATTATTGAAGAGACGAGAAGGTAGTGCTGATGCTTTAAGCAAATCCAAGGAGCAGAGCCAGGAGCTAAAGGGCCAGCTTGGACCCCTGAAAGACGAAGTGCAGAGGCTGGGGCTCGAGAGGGCCCGACTGGAGGAGCGCATTCGTCTGATGGAGAGGCAGAGGAAAGAAAATGTGGAGCAATACCGGGTATGTATTTTGAAAAGTGCTTATTGGTAGGTAATGACACAACTACAGTTGACTGCATTCGGAATAGCTTTGCATAGTAACTGTTAACTAGATATACTGAATGCATTTGCTTCTAGGAGACCATAGATCTCCTAGAGGTGAACAGCCGAGAACTAAAGACTGAGCTGCTGATTCAGATAAACAAGATCAAAGAGATGGAGAAATTAAAGAACAGCCTGGTCAAGCAGCTATACTTCTATAGGCAAGTGTTACCAACCATATAAAATACTTTTTTTGTATTTAAAGCATTGCATTATTTGCATTAAAAGCATTTATGAAATTTCTTCATGTCATATACTGACAATTACTTCTACATTCTGTTTTATAGAGAAAGGACAGAAGGACATCACCCACAGGAGATCGAAATGATGGAAGAGAAAACCTGACCAGTGAATCTGAATTTGGCAGCATTTTGCACTGTTTAGTGATATACAAAGTCACTTTTTATTTGAATGTTATTTTTGTAGTATGTAGTATAATCACAGCTGTTTTATTCTTTAATGTAAATAGTCTGTCATTAAGCAATCACAAAAAACTAGTCGTGCATGTGGGTGCACTCTACACACAAATATTCAAATAGAGGCAGTAGGCAGCATGAAATAAACCAGCACTCAACCTCTCTGAATGTCACATCACCAAGGTATGTGTGACAGAGACTGCCCAGATTTTTATCTGCCCACTTATACTGCTCAGAACACTCTAGATGTACCTGCAGTGCTGACAGGGAAGTGAGTCAGAGTGGAGGAAACAAAGCTTTTTATATACAATAGTCTGAGTGCTAGCGATTTGTCTTTAGACCCAAGAGGTAAGACAAGAGAGATGGGAGAAAACAAGGACATATTAGGGCATCACGCTGGAACTCTCAGAACATGCTGACAGAATGATGCTGGGAAGGTTTAGATAAGCAGCTATTATAAGATGGATGAAGCACTTTATTATAATCATTTTGAACACAAACAAGGATTAAATCAAATATGTTTATGAGACGGTACCATCATAATGGCTGAGCCAGTTCAGTGAAAAACAGTTTATTCTGAATGTTCTGTACAATAACATGGACATAAAGGAGAAAGACACTGAAAAGCCACAGAAGGATATTACAATATTAAAGACGTAAAACAGATAACATCACCATTACTGAGGGGGGAAAAAAGTACAAAATAAAGAGTACACAAGTTACCCTGTGGACCCCTGACATGTGAATGATGCATTTAGCAGACATGTAAAAATAAATTTATCTCCATATTCTCCATTGACAGCCACCATTATTTGACCATGGCAAGCAAGTACTCAGACGTAAGCTGTTTTTGATGTATTAAAATGAAATTGTACTTTTAGAAAACGCATAGAATATGGAGGGCTCTAGGGAAAAGCATTTCAAAAAGGAGGGAGGGATTATAATTCTCAAATTTCAATCAAAACCATAAGAACAACCAGTTTCTCTTAGAAAAATAAACCTTTCAGAAAATTAAAACAAAAAATATTTTGTCAATTTTTCCTCCTTTTCTTGGGAAAGAATGTCCTTTTGTTCTTAACTTTGAGAATGTGTAGGTGGCCGCTGATGTGACTGATGCAGTTCACAGTTTCAGATATGGAAAAGAACATGGTCATATGGAGAAAGTAAAGTGGTAGAGGCGGGAAGTTCAATTGTTCTTCACCCTTGAACCTCTGTGTCTGCAGCTCCTTCAGGGTCCTCATCATTGTAAATGTTCTCAGCCTGAAGAAAATGAAAAAGGGATGATAGTTGTTACATTAGCTTATACAAAGTTAAGAATGAGTTTCTGTTAAAGTTACTTTTGGAAATACAAGGTTTTGCTCCAACAATGACAATGAGCTGTAAATACAGACACTCATCTTTACTAAACATAGACAAAGAACACCATCTTAGGCTTTATGGTGCACAACTCCTCTTATAGATGCGTAATGTTCACTTTTTTCCTGTCAGAAATTCACAGAATGCGTATTTTGATACTGAATGGTTTACACAAGGCTCAGTGTGTCAAACGTGCAAAGCATATTTACTCACCATCTGCCAGACTTGCATGATGTTGTCCTCAGACACAGAGCAGATCACCCATGGCTCATTGGGGTTCCAGGAGAAGTCAGAGATCTTTGCTGTGTGACCACCATGGATGAACTAACATTCAAAGAAAAAAAATGATTAACTTAAATGATTTGAGAAAGTAAGTATATTAACTCTCTGAATTTTAGCTGTCTCTAAAGCTGGACTTGCACGACCCAATTTTCGCTCTGTTTTAACCCTGATTATCCCCACATCAACCACTGATCACAGACCCTTCGATATTTTCAAACATGGTTGATTTTTATCACTCAAAATACTCATGAGTCCTGTAGTCTGAGATGGTCAGCGATGTACTCAAGCAACAGCCAATGAGAGAGCTAGAAGAGACCCAAAAAAATGCAACAAGACGCAACTGCATGCTGTGAGCACAGCAAACTGCGGAGAGGAGCTGCTTGTTGAACACAGGCAAATAAGAGCCTTTATCATGTTTATGTGTTCGTAGTGAAATATTCTGTGACTCACTGTGCTATTAGCATTTCTCAACCACAGACTCATGCTTACTAGTAGTATTCACTAAGAAACAAAGCACAAACAGGCCCAGTTATTTAACTTTGTGTCACATGAAGATGGGGGAGCTGCTCCCTGTGGAAATTTGAGTTTTTATTCGTAGTCAAAATTAGTTATGGTGTTATACTCTCTCTGCCTTATTGTTCAGCGTGCAAGCAAAATTCTGTGAAAGATGACCAAGTTTGTGATGCCCTCCATTTTAGAAATCTGTTGGGATTTTATAAGTTGTGTAGTGCACGCCCAGCCCAAATGTCTAGTGGAATTTTCAACGTCTCACCAGTAATTCAGGAGGCCCATCTTCTGCGTCTTCTGGTGACTGTTCCTCACCAATTTTACTGCAAAAAATGAAAAGTTAAGATTAACAAATACCCTTGACAACTTAAAAGTGCAAATAATGTATCTCCATTCCTTGCCAATGTAAGCTGAGTTTGAAGAAAATGAGTTAATTCACCTGAGATCCCAGACATTGAGCCGTCTGTCTGTTCCACTGGAGGCCAGGATAGTCTCATTATGAGGTGACCACTGAACCTATATGTACAGTGTGAGCATAAGAGAGGTTAGAGACTTGATTGCTGTTTAGTAATTCTAAACAGCTGAATAAGTATTTATAATGTAAAGGGAGCCATTCCCACACCTGGAAGATTTCGTCTTTGTGTGACTCAAAAGAATGCAGCTTCAACTTGAGGTTCCTCAGATCCCACAATGCTACAGTCTGACAGTGAAAGAGACAAGTATGAAAACAAGGATAAGAACTGCAACATAAAAATGATCACCCTGGAAAAAAAAGCTTGCTTTAACTGGAGACAACAACAGCAAACCACTATGACTAGGCTTCTCACCTTGTCAGCAGAGCCAGTAGCCAGGATGAACTCGCTGTAAGGGTTAAACGAAAGGCAATTGACCTCTGCAGTGTGGGCATCAACTGCATGACTGGGCTTGGATGTGTTGTTGGAACGTGTATCCCAACTAAAACAGGACAAAGATATATAGGTATTTTGGGGCTTGGATGTCTTGTTGCAGCATGTATCCCAACTAAAACAGGACTAAGATAAATTCAGGTATTTCTTTACCTTTCTTTACTAATTTCTTTATTTACTAAAACAACTTCTCCACTACACTTTAGATTTTAATCAGCAGATATTCAATACATGTACAAATAAATCAGCAGTGAGTAAAAAAACAAACAAACAAACAAACAAACAAAACACACCAAGACAAATGTAGACTTACATCATAAGTTTCTGGTCATCAGCCACTGATCCAAAGAGGGACTCATGAAGTAGATGCCACGAAACGTCCTCTACCACAGCAGTGTGACCAGTGAAAATGGTCTTCGCATCAACTATCTTTCCCTCCTTCGGCACTGTGCTAATGTCCCAGAGACAGATCGTCTGAAAAAATGAAGAACTCATTAGGCCTCCAGTATACTACAAAAATCAGCTGCACTGAATACAATTGTTTTCTACAGAACATCTGCAATTGCCAATCACGGAAATCAGCAAAGCAACAACAGCATAGTGAAATTCCTAGAGATACGTTTTCTTTAAAATGGTGACACTCAGATCCAGGAAATGACTAAAACAAATGTCAGGATGTGTCTTACATGGTCATCAGACGCACTTAATAGGCAGCCACTCAGGTTGGGGTTCCAAGACAGGCCATAGCCCTCTTTCTGATGCCCCCTTAGTCTCAAGTCAGGAGTGCACTCACCAGAGGGGTCTACAGGGAAACAAACAGCACAGTACAAAGGTAATAATTATTAGCATCCATTACCAAAACTGAGATAAAACTGCTTGTATGCGTTTCAGAAATAAGAAACAGTAACAAAGCACTGAAACTTTTGTTGACAATTTGTTGCAGGGGACATACACACATAGAACACAATTTTGAAAAGCTTCATACCTGGTTTGGACGGGTGCTTGGTGTAATCAAAGACTAGCACATCACTGGTGGGAGTCTTGGTAGCAATGATGCAGGGGTTTTGCGGCATGTAGCGGGCCCTGTTCACCTCTCCTTCATGGTTAATCTTAATCTCGATCTCAATCTTACCACTCACTGAGCCAAAACCTCCAAACTCTGAAAATAAATAAATAATAAACATTGTAAAGCTGTTTAGACAGTAATTACTCAATAATTCTGTTGATTTTCTGGAAGCTTAGACTCTTGGTAATATCTTTACCTCCTTTCTCACTATCATAATGTGAAGCATCAAATTGGGCATCATCATTCGGGAGCTGAACACTGGCGATGACCAGGTGATTTTGCTCATCAGAGGTGTGGGTGCCGAGGACCAGCCTGTGGACGCTGTAATCCTTACCCTCGGGCCTGCATGAGAAACAGCGGTACCAGCTGTTATTTTCACAGGAGCGAAACATTTGTACTGCACAGTGGTGCAGTAACCATATACAATATAGCGGATACCCAACATTCTTGAGAACTTCAATTCCTGAAAAACCTTTTCAAGAACGTAAAGCTCCTTGTAGCAGTCTATAGCAAGAGTTCTAACAGTAAATCAGGTTATGCTCATGAACAGAAAAAGAAAAAAAAGGGATGGACTTCACACATGCAAGTATTTCAGAGTACCTGGTGACATCTGGTAACCACTGAGCAGTGAGGCTTGGCCACTCAAGTGCATGGGTCATCACTAGGTCGTACAGAAACGGGGTGTTTTTCTTCCATATCTTATATTCTTCGTTAATCACCCTCTCTTCAACAGCATCATCGAAAGCAGCTGCAACACAACGGGGCAGGAAAACTTAAAATCAGCTCTGAAGCAAGTAAACAAAATGAGAACTGTCAAAACTCTTTCAGGCGGACTCAGGAATACCAGTCATCTAGCAAGCAATGTTACAGCTCCATATCTAGTTAGCTAAGTTACAAAAACATTT